CCCCATAACCCAGTAATGAATACCAAAACATTTGAAAATGCTTTCAGCTACTCTAAGTGAAAAACACTGTGTTGGCAGCTTAATCTGTGTTGCCCTGCAGCCTTGCTGCTCTTAAGCATGAGGTCTGGCCCTTGTCTGTGATAAGGAAAGTTCTTCGATCACTGCAAACTTGCAATTACTTTTTCAAATGTTTTTCAACTGAAGTGAGACACAATTGGTGTAGTTTGTACGCTTTATTTCTTAGATATTGACAAAATGCTGTGTGGTAAGTGGCTATTTTAATGAATGTATAGGTTTTATTGGAAATTAAATATTGCACAGTGTAATATTACCTGATGTCTGTATTCTACTTGCCCCATTCAGAGCGGGAGTATTCCGTATTTAGGTGTTACTGAAGTATTTCTCAACATTTCAAATGCCTACTGCAGTCAGTTCTTTCTACAGCTTTTCTCTCATCCCCACAGCAAAATGTGTAATATTGTATGTTTTGACTGTATAGTTTTATATCTGTTTTATATCTTAATATTTCATACAGTTTTAATTCTTATTTTTCTTTTGATAAGAAATTTTCAGGTAACATACAATTTTAAAGTCTTGTGATGCTCTAAGGCAGACCTTGTAAGCATGTCTGTCATCTTTTATATTTTATTTAAAAAAATTTTTTGACCAGTGGTTTTCTTACAGAGGGAATACATTTTTGTGTATATGTCTTCTTGAGGTTTGGAGGGAATATAATTAAAACTGAATCCGAGTTTCTGTTCTAAAATTTTCTCATCTCTTAAATTCCGATAAAGAGACTTATTAAAGAACATGGGAATGTACAGGTTATATTTTTTCTGTTCCTAAAGAATTCAGAGAGATACCTTTTCATTTTTTTGTGCTTTTCTTTGATCATTGGACTTGGAGTTTTTTTTCCACTTGAAATCCCAAGGCAATAAAACACTTCTCAGAGCAGAAAATTTATGGAAATGCAATGATAATGTATTTTACTTACAGGAATCATGATTATGGCATTATTAAGGAGAAATTGCTATGGAAGCAAAGGTGTAAAATATTTAAATGCTTTGCAAAACTCCACCTTCCTGCATAAAAATGAAGTTTATGTTTTTCTGCAAGTGGAATGGTTCATGACTGGAAGAACAGTTCATCTGGGCAATCTCTCAGGAATCATTGAATACTATAATTTTTTTGGGCAGAGAGGAGATTTTTGCTTGTGAATACAGCACAGTCATTGCAGCAATTATTTTAATAGCTCAGCCTTTTCCTATAGTAACCTCTCTGAAAACTTTCTGCTAGGTTGTACTCTGTCCTGACTTATAACTTCCCTTTCTTTAGTAACTGAAAGAGGAACTAGACAACGAACTTCCAAGAATGGTGAGTATATTCTAATGTTATGAATGGGCACTTCAGCACGGGTTGCAACTGATCTGTTTTGGTTTTAGGGCATTTAATGGTGCTGGAGCTGCTTAATAAAACTTATCTGAGGAGAAAGTAGTTGTTTGTTATCTTGGAAAAACGCTGCTTGCTTTTTTATAAGTGATGGTGCTGCAATTGGATTTGTGCCAGGCTTCCTGGATGAGCAGACCTGTACTTCCTGGAAGCAGACAAGAAAACAAAGAAGTGTTTTAAGAAGAGACACGTGTGGCTAAATCAATTCTTCCTTCCTTACATGGGGGTCATAATCGGATGAAAGGAATCCAGTATTTCATCCACAACTAGTTAAGGTTGCCCTGTAAAGATTGATTGCTCTTGAAACACTGAGATTTTCCTTCTGCATTCCATTGACCTTTACATAACTTCCAAGTGATCCATCTGTGCATGTGCTGATGAGCTTTTCTTGTACTTTCAATGAGGTGTCAGTGTTTTAGGTAAGACACTGGCTTGTTAAGTGTGGCTGGTTTGGACCGAAGTGTAGAAGAAGGTTAATGCCTTGGAGTCGAGGACAACTTTCAGTACATATGTATCCTCTTACTTTAGTTTCTAGTCATCAGTGAGGATTATGTAGGAGCACAGGCAAGCTGTAGTGTCTCTTGATCCTGTAAATGTTAATACTGTGGATTAGGATCTCCTCTATTCCCCGTGGTGCATGTAGCTTGCTTGGCTGCTGCCCACAGTGCTCATTTATGATGCTGCTGCATAGAGTCCTCTTAAATATCCATTAGGTCTGTTTCCAGGCCTCTTCTGTGTCTCAGCTTACAAATGTGAAACGTCCTATTCTTTCTAAAATAATTTAAAAGTGAACTTTAAAGAGCAGTCTGAAAGTCCAATGATAGACTGTCTTCACTCCCCTGGCCTGAACTAGCCCTGAGGATATGGAACTGCTGCATCTCAAATGGAAGTGGTAACCAGCTCATCCTCCTTGAGGTTACCAAGGTGTGGCTGGGCATTTCCTAAAGAAATCCTCAAAACAAATCTGCCTTCTAGAGAAAATAAGTAGAAGTCCAAATATATGTAGTTCATTTTTCAGATAAAGTGTTTTGGCCTCCATTTCTTTTTTGGATGGATGCAAGAGGTTGCTTTTACACTTTCCACTGAGAAATTTCTTTCCCATCCTGTTACCTTGTCAAGTATGTGTGCACTTCTGCAGTCACTGAGCGCTTGATGTGGTTGTACCTGTGCACTAGCATATTCTGAGGCATATTTGTTACCTGTATGCTTTGCCACATCCCATGATGCAAGTACCATCTCCATCTTGGTCACTACTCTCTGCTACAAAGTATATTGCAGTGTGGTGAGAACTATTAGCAGCACTAAGAGCAGTGAATGGTTAAGTTTTTATAATGAGGTGAGCTGGACTGTGTGCATATCTAATGTTGTTCTTACTCCAGATCTCTTTTAACCTTTATTTCATGCTGCTTGGCACAACTGCACTGTAAGCACAGCAGGATTAATTTTGATACAAGTGTATTTAAACTCCACCAGCCAATAAGAGAAGGGCACCATCTACATGACATTTGACATGTTTAGGTGTTAACATTTTTAGTTTAATTGCTACCAGAGGGATTGTGGTTCGCCTGTAGAGAATGTGCTCTTTTCTGAGAAATAATATAAGGCTAATTAGTGGGGGAATGGTTGTAAGGGAGGAAGCAAGAAAAAAAGAAGCAGGTCAGTTACAGTGTCACTGAAGTGTCATGACTGAATGACCTCACTTCATTGTTGCTACTTAGATGAATGATCTCCTGCAGCTATGGACTGTGCAGGATTCTATATGCTGCTTTGTAGGTTTTCTAGCAAGCTGATCTGCTCACCTCAAAATGCAACTCTTTGGAAGGGGTAGTGAGCAAGCTTTTTCTCCCCCTGGGAAGGAGATGAGTATGTGTTTATAAAGACAGTACTAGGGAAAAGGCAGAATTGTCCTTAATGAGCAGCTTTAGGAGCTGTGAGGCTGAATTAAACTATAGCAGGAAGAGGTGGAATGGGAAGACATGGAAACAAGTGTGTCACTTGCTGCTCAAATCTAAAAGCTGACAAGAGGAGGAAAAGCACAGCATGCTCCTTGTACATTATAGGAAAAATACAGGGGTAATCAATGTTTTGCCAGAGTTCCTAGTTTTATTGTAAAATACCACCTGCTGTGCTGTGAGAGTGAAGAAGAGCTTTTCTTTGCTAAGCAGGTCTGGGGCTTATTATTCTCATAAACTTAGTCTGAGAAGAGGCATTTTGCTTTTATTGCATTTAATATCTTTGTTGTGACCTCTCCCCTCCAAGTGTTCATTCTGCAGGGCCATAGTCTGTGATTCTGATAAGAACTTCTGCTACTAAACATGGGTGTGATTAATTTCCTCTGAATTCTGGTAAGCAATAAACTAGCAAGCTTAATAGTGGAGTACAGCTCAAATTGACAGGTGGTGTTTTCAGGATTTTCTGCTAGGTGGTGCACAGTCTGTCCATCAAAGATTATAGATTGTTTGAACCATAGGATCTTAGTTATGTTGCTGGCTGTGTTACACGTGGCTGACATTATTCTAGGTAATTCCTTGCCTCTGTAGCACAATTCACCCCTAAAACTGGGTATCTTTGAGCAACTTGACTAATGCTATAAATGCTTTTGAAAACCATGGGTGAGAGTTGATGTAATTGAGTATAAAATGTTAATCAGACCATAAGGGAATTCTGGAACAGTAACGTTGCCACTAGTAGGAAAATGTAACTGATAGGGGATGTGATCTGGTGACATAAGGGACTGATGTTCTCATTTGTTCACCATATGCATAGCTTGGGTGCCTGGAACTCTGACCTGAGGCTAAGAAATGCTTGTGGTTAATATAAATCTTGGTCTGTAACTCAGAGAAAAACAACCCTATGTTTATAGTTTTATGAAAGATGCTGAAAACCTCTCAACAAGTAAATGATCGGTACAAGATCATTGAAAGACTATCTCTAGGTAAAATAAAAAATGCAAAAATTGGAGGCTGGGAAGAACAGGAATGAACATGGTTTTACTCGGAGGTATGTCGTAAGGGCAGAATAACATGATTGGAATATTAACGGGCTCTGGCTAGTACAGAATTGTGGACATGTGAGAAAAAGGGAGCTAGCGTAGGCTTGTAGAGCAAGGGTTACACACATCTGCCACAATCAGGAAACAGTGGAAAGGAATTAGTTAAAGGTTCACAGCTACTAATAAATAAAAGAAGGCAGTGCTGCCATGGCAGCAGCTTTGTATAGACACCACCAAGTCAGATAGGTAAGACTTCTTCAAATAGCAGAACTGGGAAACAGGAAGGCTGCACCCAGGTCAGGAAAGAAGTGAATGGGAATTGAAAGCCATGTCATACTCCAAAGGATATGAGTATAAAATAGCCCTAAGTAAGCATGGGTGATTGAAGGCAGAAAGTCTAGGGTCAGAATAGCTGCCTAGCACAAGCTAGAGGCTAAATGGCAAGACAGATGTATTGTTTAAGTGGAGAAGCTGCAGGAAGACTACTAGGAAGACTATGCTGCTCCCGAAGGAAAGAAAAGTTATCAGAAGACATGTGATAACTGTAATCTTCTGATACCAGAAGATACTAGGAGAAGAGAGTCAGTACTGTTTTCCAAGTGCTAGAAGAAAAAGCCAGTAAGGAAAACTTTCTGAGTCATCAGACTGGTAAGTGCTGCAATAGGTGTCAGAGAGAGATGGTAAAGCTTTCATGAAAGTTGTGAAAATCAAACCCAAAATAGTCAGCATTGAGTAGAGTTCTTTAGTTGATTCTTTCTCCTCTTGAGGAGAGAGACTAACTGGATGGTATCTGGAAGGTCTCTTTAGTTCTGTGTTTATCATTCATGACTATATGACATTTTTGTCCCTACAGGAAGGAGGGCTGGGGAGAAGGACTGTGCTGATGATGATGAACCAAATGAATATGACCTTAATGACAGCTTTATAGATGATGAGGAAGAGGAGTGTGAACCTACTGATGAAGACTCTGACTGGGAGCCAAGTTCAGAAGACAAGGATGATAAGGAAGATGTTGAAACGCTTTTGCAAGAAGCAAACAGATTTGTTAAGACCAAAAAGTAGCTTCATGGAATAACATTACAAATGTTCAATTGGGTTGTTAAAACATGGATGTGCAGGGAGAGGAATTGCTTTGAAAACTTTTTTTTCCTCAGTGATGCAGGAGCTACAAGAAGATTCTAATGAGGGTGAAGGGATACAGCAATGCTTTTCTTTTCCATATGTGTTATTTTGGTGACAGTTTTTTATTAAGTGATGGAGCCAGAGGACTGACCTCTGAAAGCTTTTTGGGTTTTGGCTGAGTTTTTTCCTCATCTATTTATTTTGCAGCTCCATTGGTGTCTCATAGTTAGAGATACAATTTTAAAGGTTGATAATGCTTCATCTTCCTGTGCTTGAAAGAAATACTGGCATTAGGAAAGCCTTTAGTTTTGCTGAAACATCATATATTCTGTGTCGAATGAAGAGGAGTTGCACTTCACACCTGCAGTATCATGAGCTGATTCTTGGTCATCACTAAAATCTGTATGAACAATTTCATTTTTTTAACATTCTTTTGCTTTGGTTCAGTCTTAAACTTCGTTAGTCTGCTACTAGCTTTCCTTTCACATGTCATTTCTTTGATTCTCAGTAGTCAAACACAGGTTGTCTAAATCACTTGAGAACAGTATCTCGGTATCAAACAACTTGGTTGTCTCAAAATTAATTGTGTGTATTTGCTCTAATTGCAGCAGTATATCTTTCCATGTCTCTGCATCACTGAAGTTGTGTTCAGTTCACAACAAAGCTTAAGTCTTGATGACTGTATTTTTGCACAATTAAATTTGTAAAATACTGTGGGGAAAAAAATGTGTAACCGTGTCTCTGTGATTTCTGAAGTCTTTGTTGGAAAATCTTGCCTTAGAATCATAGAATGGTTAATTTGGAAGGGACATTAAAGTTCATCAGGTTCCAAGCTCCCAGGTGTGAGCAAAGACACCTCACACTACACCAGACTGCACAAAGCCTCATCCAACCTGGCCTTGAACACCTCCAGGGAGAGGGCATCAACAATGTCCCTGGGCAACCTCTTGGCACTTTACTACCTTCATGGTGAAGGATTTCTTCCTGATGTCTAACCTAAATCTCCCTTTTTTTCAGGTTGAAACTATTACCCCTTGTCCTGTCACTGCCCTCGCTGGCAGGTGAAAAGTTTCTCCACATCTTTCTTGTAGGTCCCCTTTGGATACTGGAAGGCCACTATAAGGTCTCCCCTGAGCCCTCTCTTCTCCAGACTGAACAGCCCCAAGTGTCTCAGCCTGTCTTCATAGCAGGGGTGCTCCAGCCCTTTGATCATCTTTGTGGCCCTTCTCTGTACCCTCTCCAGCAGCTCCATGTCTTTCCTGTGCTGAGGGCACCAGAACTGTACACAGTACTCCAGGTGGGGTCTGACCAGAGTAGAGGGACAGAATCGCCTCCCTGGGCCTGCTGGCCACACATTTCAATGCAGCCCAGGATGCAGTTGGCTCTCTGGGCTGCAAGCACACACTGATGGCTCATGTTGAGCTTCTTATCTACTACCACACTCAGGTCGTTCTTCTCAGATCTGCTCTCTATCCATTCTCCCTGTAGCCTGTATTTTTGCCTGGGATTGCACCAGCCCAGCTGCAGGACCTTGCACTTGGCTGTCTTGAATTTCATGAGGTTGGCATTGGCCCACTTCTCAAGCTTGTCATGGCTTGGCATGATAGATCAAGTTTTATTAATGATACATCAGAACTGAAAAAGTTGTGTGACCAAAAGCAGAACACAGGGAAAGTCAAAGCCATAATTGAGCTGCTCTGAACCAGTAGAGTGAAAACTATTGAAATGTATTTTCCTATATTGCATTCTCTCCTTAACAGCAAGATATATTTTCAGCCTTCTGGAGGGATGAATTGAAAACTCCAGGATACTGGAATATTGATGGAAACTACTCTGAGGTACAGATGAGACTATTAAGACATTCAGCAGACCCTAAAATGTCAAGTTACCCGGTACTTTTTCAGTGTGTCAGAATGCATCACAACTTAGTGGTCTGAGTCTAGAGATAGTCTATAGATAGTCTATGATTAGACTCACTCTAGCGACAGATTTTTCTGTAAATGTGTTAGTATAATAATAAAAGGCACATTCTGACCATCTGTGCCACTTACCTCCAAAAGGCAGAGAAGAACAGTTCAACACATAGTCTGCATCAAGTTAACCCATAATATATGTTTATTAGCTCTGAAAAAATAGACTGGTGAAATCTTCACACCCTTCCCCCCCCCCCAAGAAAAGTATTTTGAAACACTACTTTCAATGAATTGAGTAGGAAGTGCTGTCACCTTCAGCTGTCACCTTAGTGGGTACCCATTCTGTTTTCATAAGACAGGGCTAAGACATGAAAGCTCTCTGTTCCTTGTGTTTTGAGGTGCAAACTGTAATTCCTTCTTTAACTCATGATACCGTGTATCTGTCAAACTGCCTCTGAATTTTCTTCCCATGAAAGCTCAACAGCATTCCCTTTGCTCCATTTAAAGCCCATCCCTCTTGCCCTTCCTATTTGCAGCATCCTTTTACATATTTAAAGGCCCTTACACAGCTCTCTTCTGCCTTCTCTTCCCAACATTAAACAACAAGTCCATTCATCCTGTGGTTTATCCTATGAGACCAGATTTCCTGAAACCCTGATCCATCTTAATTGTAGTCTTTGGATGCTTTCTAGTTGGCATCTCTCTTGAAGGTTGATCCTCAGAAACAAACACTGTTTCAGATGGGAATTAATGGGAGACTCTAGCCCAGGCATGGCTCTGACTATTTTTCCACTGTCAGCAATTTGAGGGAGATTAACCTCTATTAGTCTGTTACTGGCAACATCAGTTGAGGGTGTGGAGGCTTTCTGGAGTCCAACCTGGGTACCTGACCTTACACTGTCAGACAAGGAAACTTGATTTGTTGCTCCTTTCACACAGTTCCTTCTTTGTTGTCATTTTTTTGTTGCGATTGCCTGGAATATTACTTTATCTGAATGGGAACTGAAATTTAACTCTAGTTAAAATAATGTGGTTTTATTTTTAAAATCAATTAACAAATTTTCAATTTCATTGAATTTTTCTTTAGTCCTCTTACCTCTTAATTCTTCACTGCCCTGCTGTGACAAACCAAAGTTGTCTCTGGACAACAAGGGAATGAGAGATTTCTATATGCTCAACTACAGAGTTTAACAAGTTTATTCCCAGTTTATTCCTTGACAGGTTTTGCTTGAGGGAGTCAACTTGAACGCTGTTGATACTGACAGGGAAGAGCATTACAAGGCTGGGCCAAGTCCTGTCTGTCTGCAGTGGGTGAAGGTGCCTCTATCGATAGACTTTGTGGCTGCTGACCAGTGCTGAGGAGGGCTTTGTGGAACTGGTGCCTTCTATGGTGCCCAAACCGGGTTTTTTGTCTGTTTGGTGTGTGTGTGTCCTGTTTTTGGGAACAGGCTTCTCTTGGGAGGAGGAGCCAAGGGGGAACCAAACCCGATGCTGCCCGTGCCTTTGCCTCACTACAGCTTGTGGAGCCTCAGCCATCCCTGCAGCCCTGGGTCAGAGCTGGGTCAGGCTGGGCAGCGCCGAGTGTCGGGTCCCAGGAAAGGCAGCTTGGAGGCCGTGTCCAGGACCTGGCTAGAGCTGGGCTGTGTCAGGGCAGAGCCGCCTCAGGGAGCCAGGGCAGGTCTGCAGCAGGGGCTGGGGTTTGCCCCAGGATTGACTTCAGGTAGGGTTTGGCCGGGGCTGAGCTGAAGGGTCATCAGAGCTGGGCTGGGCTGGCATGGGCTGAGCTTGCCTGTCCTGCCAGGCTTTGCTCCTGGTCAGCATGACTGAGCACACCTTGGTGTGAAGGAGAGTTGAATGGAGGATGCTGACTGCTAGTATCTTTCGTCTTAAGCACTAAGTGAAAGAGGTAATATAAAACAATAACTAATTAAACAGCTTCAAGTTACGCCAGGGAAGGTTTAGGTTGGATGTTAGGAAACACGTCTCTACAGAAAGGGTTATCAAGCACTGGAATGGGCTGCCCAGGGAAGTGGCTGAATCAGCATCCCTGAAGGAGTTTAAAAATCATCTAGATAAGGTGCTTAGGGACGTGGTTTAGCAGTGAGCTGGTAGAGCTAGGTTAGCAGAGTTAGGTTAAAGGTTGGACTGGTGATCTGACAGGTCTTTCCCAACCTGAACATTCCATGATTCTAAACTTACTATGAACGTGCCTCATTAGCATAGAATCATAGAATGGCTCGGGTTGGAAGGAACCTTTGAAGATCATCTAGTTCTAACCTCCCGCAGGGAAGGCAGCTGTGCGTTTTTGGTCTCTCACAGAAGCCCTGTGCTATTAGGGGTAAGGGCTGCTAGCTTTGTGGATTCACCACAAGGGGAAACACCCCTTTTCTCCACAGAACTCAGAAGGGAACACCTTGTCTTTCCGTGCGGAATGGTTATTGGTTCTGCGACATCACCGGGTCCGCTCCCCGGGGCGGGCTCTGCTTCTGGCGCCGCTTCCTCTCTCTGCCGGCTCCTGCCGGAGGAGCGGGAGGGCTGATCCCGGTGGGAAGCGCTGTCGGAGGAGGAGGAGGACCCGCGGAGCTGCCGTGCGCGGCCCTGCCGTGAGGATTCAGGGTGTGGGACACGAGGGTCGCGCTGGGTGTTTGAAGCCTGAGGTCCCAGCAGCTGGGAGGCTGAGGGCTGGAGCTGGAGGCTGAGGACGGCGGGCGCTGCCGGTTTCCACCTCACTAAACCAAATCGCGTGGACACAAAGCGACAGAGCTTAGCCTGTTGTCAACGTTGAACACAGGATCGGCAACCTGTGGTTAAGATGTTTGTATTTGTACTGAATTTTGGTACCCAATGATAAAAATCAAACTGTACTCGCTCTCTTCCCTTGGTCAGCTTCTGTCACTGAACGGTCGGAATCATGTTGCAAAACAGAGGGTCGCTGTGTCCTGTGATCCTGGGGAGCTCTAAGGGCCTCAGTTTAGGTTGGTAATTGTAGGTTGAAAGACGGTTGAATTTGGTCAGTACTTTTTTTTT